ACAGCTCTGCCTTCTGTAAGATTTTTCTGATTGCAAAATTTGTTGGTGAGGGGTTTCCCCACCGCCTGACTGCCAAGATTCATTGTGTATTTAAATGTGTAAAATTGGGCAAGTGAATTAATCCATTTGTGCTATAGTTTCCTCAGTCAAATGGAGATATTTGCTACCTACAGTACAGTTGTGAAGATTGAGTAAATCTGCGTGAACACACTGAGACTATGGCTGTTAGCTCAATTTCTCTTGCCCTTGTTAATAACCCACATCCCCCAGGGTTGTGACTACGCTCAAACAGAGAAGAGTGTGGTCAGATGCAAACACAGGCTTGGGAGGATCAACAGAGCACCAAGAGCAGCAAAACAAGAACAGTGCTTTATTTCTGATACTAGAATCAGTAGTCTTCTCCTTTAGTCTCTAGAGTACTTTTTAAAACACTTCAGTTATAAAACTATATATTCACATTAAAAAATGGGGAAATTTTTAAGTAGAAAAAACTAAATATTCATAATCCAACCTCTTGGTCAACATGCATAACACTTTGAATTTACTCCCAGACTTATTTTTGTGCAGTTAAGGGGTTTATTTTTGTTTGTTATTTTTAGACAATTTATATTATATGTACATTTAATATTATTTTCAACTTAAATATTAATATTTCTTATGGTGTTTAGTGGTTTTATAAATATAATTTTAAAACATATATGTTGTTCCATAAAGTTCACCTTTTCTTTATTTCAATATCTAATATTACCATATTAGACATTTATGTTTCCAATGTTCAGTTTTTTAAATAGTACTAAAATGAATACATTTATCTTTGTCTGCATCTGATTATTTCTTCATTTTTGTGTTTTTTAATTATTTCTTTAAAATGGATTCTTGGGGTTTGAATTAACAGATCACAAGAAATAAACAAGTTACAATCTTTTTTTTTAGAGGTTCAAACAAAATTTATGAAAGCTGTAATTTGGAATGTTCAACAGTTCAATGATAAAATGATAAAAAGAGTATATTAGAAATACACTTACAGAAAGTGCTGTTTTAAAAAATGAAGCATAATTTTCTTCCTAGGACATTTCCTTAAATATGTGAGTGAACTGTTTGTAGAAGATAGAGCTGTCTAAGACATTTCTAAAGATGCTTCATTGCTAAACTAATCTGTAAACTTTCCCTTTCCTGTTACCCTTAGTCCTTCCCTCTGCACATGTGGTCATATGCAGAGCTCGTCATGCTGTACATATGAAGCACATGGATGATATCCTTTCTAAAGGAAGTTTACAAAACACAAAACAAGTTACGATCTTGATGCCTATTTCTTTTTAGTTTTTATTTTTCCTCAAATAACTTTTTAAACAAACAGCAAAATACAAAGATTCAAGTGAAATTAACACTTTTCAATACCTATTTTCAAGAAATGTTTTGCAAAGAAGCAGCTTTTATGATTAGGAAAAGTAAATCAATAATGCATAAATATTTTGTGTTTTCCTGCTAACAAACTGGGGAAAATACACAAAGCAGATTATTAGTATTATTTTTCTGTAACCAAAATAAAAATAAGATTCATGTGTTAAGACCTTGTTTAAATAGCCAAATAACCAACACAGTCCCTACACTATGGTTTCTACACAATCAAGAACCAAACAACCTCTTCACAGATGTCCTGTGATAACATTAAAAAAAAAAAAAAGCAAAATGAATAACCCAATAATTTAAATTCTATTAATTTTAAGTTTAGGGCTCTTTGTTCACTAAAAATGACATTTCTAAAATACTTTAATACAAAATTCTAAATGGTAGTGCTTTAAAAGCAGAGCCATTAAGTCAGGTGCCAGTGACTCACGCCTGTAATCCTGGCTATTTGGGAGGCTGAGATCTGGAGGATCACAGTTTGAGGCCAGCCTAGGCAAATAGTTCACAAGACTCTATCTCCAAAATAACCAGAGCAAAATGGACTGGAGGTGTGCCTCAAGCAGTACAATACCTCTCTGCAAGCATGAAGTCTTGAGTTCAAACCTCAGTCCCACCAAAAAAAAAAAGCCTTTAAAACTCTCACACAATTATATTCTGAAAATTCCATGACATTCAGGGAGCCTAGGAATTTATAATAAGTCCAGTACTATTTCTAAGGCCTATTTCTAAATTGCTTCTCAAAAAAATAAAACTGATATACAAGAATCAATCAAGAATGAGTCTTTCTCATTATATCCTTTCTTAGATTAAATATTATCAATACTCACCAAAAATAAGTATCAGATTTAATGATGTGTTACTTTAATTTACATTTTTATTATAAATGTTAAATATTCTCATACTCCCTAGTCAATGGGTTATTTCTTTAAAATTGTCCATATTCCTTTTCAACTGGGAAGTTACTGTCTTATTTGCTCTAACATTTACATATTACAAACACTATTTTCTCAGGGACATCTTTCTTTGCTCATTCAACTGTGCAGAAAGAAGACCATGCTCCCTATTTGGTATACCTCAAGTCTCACTTCAATCCCTGTGTGGGTGTGCTCATCAAAACCAGCTGGGTTCTGGCCCCAGCTCACTGCTACTTGCCGTGAGTATTGAGCATCTTTATCTCCTGAAAAGTCCTACTCATTGTAAATCAGTGATTCTCAAATAGGGCAGTTTTCCCCCTAGGGCACATTTGCCAATATATCTGAACATAGTTTTGGTTATCACAGTCAGGGAACAGTGCTACTGACATCTACTGGGTAGAGGCCGGAGCAAGGATGCCGCCAAACCTCCTACAGTGCACAGCTCAGTCTCCCCCTAAAGATCTGTCCAGCTGCTGTTGAGAGACCCTGTGCTCAGGCTATTCCTCTTCTTTCTCCCATTAGTTTTTTTCAAGTTTTTTAACTAGAAATATGAAAGTCCCAGTGGTAACTGATAATACACTCAACTCAGGTAAACTGAGGAGAGTTTAAAAAAAAAAGGACTAATTGCAAAGGGATGGAGACATTATCAGGAAAACCTAAAGAACAGTTCTGGGCCCCATGGTTAGTGTTAGAAAAATGCAGTGACCATTCCTATGCCTAAAAGGCAAGAGGAAATGAAAGAAAGTGACCCTTGCATGAAGTGACTACCTGCCACTTTGGTGAACTTTACCAAAGGACACAGCCAATCTGAAGCATTGCAGGGTGAGTTCTTGGAGGGTAAACCTCACCCTTCTCCCTCCACTTGTCATCTGGTATTTTCTACTGATCAAAAACCCAATCAGAAGCCAGAGAACAAGAAAGCACATTGAGGGCAGGAGGGAAAAATAAATCTTTCCCAGGAGTGGGTACCAGTGAGAGGGTGGTGGGCACAAGGAAAGAGGAAATGAGGGTTTATATGGTGGCTGTATTTTGTATCCATGTATGAAAATAGAGGAATGAAACCTAGTGAAATTGTTCTAAGAAGGGGGAAGGGGGAAGAGGGAGATGGAGGGAGTAAATCCAACTAAGATATATTTTAAACGCATATATAAATATCACAATGTATCCCTCTATACAACTATTATATGCTAATAAAAGTCATTAAAAAAAGAAAGACCATTGATTTAATTCCTATGTCACCATCCAAAGTGTAGAGCAGAACAGAGGGAGGTTGTTAGTGGGTTTAGTGACAGCACTCAAGTTATTCCATTCTCGTCTCCACTAAAATGGAAATTGTCCACCTGGGTAGGGGAGACCTGGAGAGGAAGGAAAAATTAAATCTCTGACACTCATTATTTTCCTCTCCACTGTATTAAGGACACTACATTAAAACACAGTGGTCAAGAACTCCACTATTTATGACTCTGGGTAAATTACTACTGTGTGCTTCTACTATTTAATCTGTAACATGAGGATAAACATATGATCCACTACACACAGACTTGCAGTGAGTAGATGAGATGATCTAGATAAAGCACTCAGCACAGTACCCAGCACATTGTAATATTCAGTATCTTATCAATAATGGTGCTGATGACAGTGCTTACTTTCAACCCTTTTTCTCTCCAGAAATCTGAAGCTGATGCTGGGAAATTTTAAGAGCAGAATCAGAGATGGGACAGAACAGACTATTAGCCCTATCCAGATTATCCGCTACTGGAATGTTAGCCACAGCTCCCCACAGGATGACCTCATGCTCATTAAATTGGCTAAGCCTGCCACCCTCAACCACAAAGTCCAGCTCCTTCCCCTTGCCACCAGCAATGTCCAGCCAGGCACTGTCTGTATGCTGTCAGGTTTGGACTGGAGCAGGGAAAACAATGGTAAGTACACCTCCCACAGCAAATTAAGGTCACCAGCCATCCTTGAAGAGGAACATTCATGTCTTCAGAGCTATGAGAAGAGAGGGGGAAAAGAGTCCCAAGAAAGAAGCTACGGGAGTGGTCTGACAAAAAGAGATCTTCCCAAAAGTCCAATGCTCCTCCATTAACACTCTGTCTAATGCTCTACTGCCTCTTCAGAGCTTTGGCAGCTAGAGTCACCAGACCATCTGAGTCAGTACAGAAGCTACACCATTCCTGATTGTCAGGGACACAATTCACATTAAGTACACTGTGACCCTACTTCCGATACATATTCATTTCTTATGCAAAGAATTTGAGAATTTGAGTCTGGTTGCTTCTTATTCCAAGACTGGACACAGAATAGAAAGAAACTCTGCATTTCAAAGACACATAGGACTATTTCACAATCCTCAGGATTAACTCACATAACTAAACTCGGGTTCATTTCTTCCCTTTTCTCATACCTTATTTTCTTCACACACACACAAAAAGACACCAGTACACATAGAGGGTGGGGGTTAGAAGGAATAAAGAGCAAGTGTGAGAAGGATGTTTTCTTTCACCTGTCTTCTCTCAGGCAGACATCCTGACTTAAGGCAGAACCTGGAGGCCCCTGTGATGACTGACAATGACTGCAAGAAAACAGAGCAAGGAAGCCGTCACAGGAACTCTCTGTGCATTAAATTTGTGAAAGAATTCAGCAGAATTTTCGGGGTAATCTTTTCTCTACAATCAACTTTCATTTTGTTGTATGTGTCCAATTGACTATTTTACCATGACACAAGCTTTTTCAAACTTCTAAATATTTTTTAGAATTTGATAAAGCCATTGCAAAGACATCTTTGTTTCTTCAGCATAGGCTCTCCTTACAAAGGATCTCTATTCATTTAAGAGCACCACATATTGCCTCTAGTCAATAACACTTTGCTGGGTATTCAGTCTCACAGCTACAAATAAAATAGTGAAAATGACATTGCTTTAAAAAAAAAATCAAACATTTCACAAGTTGAAATTGACCTCATCAGTTCAGATAATTTGGGTTTGACTCATTTTACACATGATTTCTAGAGGTTATTTTCTGATTTTCAGAATCACACAAAGCTAATTACAGTAAAGCTAGAAAAAAAGGACCAAATCTTTCTATCTCCTAACTCGGTACTCTGTTCATGACCCAGCATATTGTCTCTGGGCAAGGTTCACCTTAGGGAGGGCCTGGGGAGGGTTCCTGGGAGGAGAGGATCTGACTCTCTCTTTCTGATCTCCGGCAGGAGGTGGCAGTCGCCACTGTCATCTGTAAAAACAAGCTCCAGGGAATCGAGGTTGGGCACTTCATGGGAGGGGATGTCGGCATCTACACCAATGTCTACAAATACGTGTCCTGGATTGAGAACACCTCCAAGGATAAGAAAAAATAATACCTTACTTCTCCCTCTGCATCCCGCTGTCTCTACCATTGACTATACAGGCTTGTACTCTCCCTAGACTCAAAATAAAATATCCAAATGGGGATCTTTGGATGCAGCACACTGGCAGCCTATCTCTTCTTATTTGTGTCTGTACATACACCCTATAATGAGGTAGAGAAATGAGCATTTTTGGGTTACAGTCATTATCTCCTGGAATGCTCATAACAAACTTTTTAAATTGCCTGTTATCCCTGTTTACAAATGAAAAAAATGAGTCTTAAACTTACCCATAACTGGTAGTTATCAGAGGAATAAAATGCCAAAATGTCCTGTGCTTTTAGCCTTCATATTATGGAGAAATCCATAGCATCACAACAGATGCTGGCTCTACCTTATCATTCCCTGCTACCTTATCATTCAAATTACTTTAAGCTCCTAGGTATAGTTAAGGTCTTGGGTACTGGAATAAGCTCTAATAGTCATGCTTCATATCAGGGCCACATTGATTGCAGCATTCTACAGAGAGAGAGCACTGGTAGAAGAGTGGGAAGTAAAAAATGAAACTCCAGGACAGTGTCAACAGCTATAAATAAAGTCCAAAAGGAGCCTGGTAGCTCTAGAGCAAGGTGCAGATGTAATGCAGATCAAAGGAGAACAGCAACAAGAGCAGCAGTAGGGCTGGAGACAAAGGTGACTGAGATGAGGCAAAGGCAGAAATTGGGCTTAGCCACAGACCATTGCCCTAACCAAGGTAAGAAAGCAGGTACCAGCCCTCTGGTTGAGAAATTGGTAAGGCACTGCTAAACACTGGGTATTTGTGTTCCCTAAAACTCATATTTTGAAGCCTAATCCCCAAAGTGATGGTATTTGGGGGTGAGGACTTTGTAGGTGATGAGGTCATGAAAATAGAGTCCTGATGAATGGTATGAGTGTTCTTATAAGAGGCCCACAAGAGTTCTTTCCCCCCGCATTCTGCCTTCGAAGTTAAGTAAGAAGACAGCAGTCTATGAACCAGGAAGTGGGCCCTCACCACACACCAAACCTCTAGCACCTTGATCATAAGTTCCACAAAATCCAGAACTGTGAGCAATAATTTTATGTTGTTTATAAGCCACTCAGTTTATGGCACTGCATTTAGCATCTCAAACAGACTAAGACAATCACCTCTCCAGACCTCTCAAATCTGAAAGTGATAGAGGAATTCTGGGTACCCAAGAGACTGGGACATACAGGACAAGAATGGGTAAATTCTCAGCAGGTAAAATGTCAAGAAATAATTGCACATTATCTTTGGATAATATTTTCTACTTTCTTGGTTTAAAATACTTTAATAGGCTTTATGGTGGGCAGAATAATGGCCTCACAAACATATCCACACACTAATCCTGTGAATATATAATGTAATCAGATGTTACGGTTATGGTTATAGAGTTTAGCATGGGAGATTATCCTGAATTATCATGTGACATCAATGTAATTCCATGGACCCTTAAAAGTAGAAAAGGAAGGCAGAAGATATGATTAGAGATGGTTGGAGAGATGCAACAAAAGAGACAGAAAAAAAAATATGAAAAGGACCTCAGCTACCATAGCAGGCTTTGAAAATGGAGGAAGTGACCACAAGGGGAAGAATGTGAGCAGTTTCTAGATGCTGGGAAGACCCTCGGCTGACAATTAACAAGGAATAGGGACTTCAGTCCCACAATCTGAACTGTACTGAATTGAACTAAATTCTAAACAAGCAAGGAAAGGAATCATCCCCAAAAAGGAGTACAATTCTGTTGACACTTTGATCTTAGCTCACTGAAATCTTTGTTGAACTTTTGACATAAAAAACAGTAAGATAATAAATTTGTGCTGTCATAAACAGATTATTGTAATTCATAACAGCAGTCATAGAAAACTAATAAACTTTTAAATACACATGTCTAAAAACTGCTATTCTTTATAATTGGATGTAAAAGCCTTTAATAGCTTTTGCTATTAATCTC